TTTCGTGCTAAATTCAGTGATAAATTTGATGAATTCACTCGTCGGTGTATGGAATAAATAGTAAGTTAGTGGTTCGCATGTTCGGGTGTTCCATTCCCCGTTTTGATGATCTGGCAGGTCGACGTTACCACCCTCATACAAGAACTTACCACTTCTACGTGTAATGTCAGGAACAAACGGAAAACCGTTTGTTCATGATGTTCTTACTGTTCATGAGATCGATCATGATTGCATGAAAAGCTATTGTCTCTGACATGCTCACTTCAAACTCATTCAGATGAATTCTCATTCTTTTCAGACGTGTTTTATTCGCTCTCATAGCTATTACATGCCAATAGCGTTCTCTTGATGAGTCTTTCTCATTCATTTCGTATCATTTCATGTCACAGTTCGAATCAGTTTCTTATTCTGTAGCATATACTATTTACTGGATGCGTTGATGAGTATTGATAGCCGAAATCAACAATACAGCAATCGAATACTATTGCTCAATACGGTTCGACAGTGAAATGATCAATTATAGAGTGTATTTGATAGAATGAGACTTTGACTATAATTGTTAAGTGAAATGAATGAGAAATTAGCAGAAGAGAACACTTTTGGTGATAAAAGTTATGAGAGCGATTGCAACAGCAAGGAAAAGAATGAAAGCCCTGTTAAAACGAATGAAAATCATCGATAAAATGTTCGACGACAGTTAATTACAAACCTAAGATATCGTAGCTTGAATCGACTTCATGTTTGAATGTAAGACGTCCGAAGCTGACATGATTCAGATTTTTCAACCATTCAAAGAACGACACCGTAACACCACCACTATTCATGAACATATCCGGCAGTATCAAGCAATCACCACGTTCCAACAAAATCTTCTCGGCGCCTGGTGTCATTGGACCGTTCGCTGCTTCAGCGATCACCTGAAGAAGAAGTTTGGCTGTGAACAACAACCATTCTACTGAATCATTTTTAGAATACGACTCAAATCATGTTCACTTAGAATACTATTGGAAAGCACGAAACCAAAGTTGATGATTTTCGATTTACAAGTTGACCTTTCCCAAATAAGTTTTACGTTTGCTCACTACGATATGTTGATGAAACACAATACTTTGGAAGTTCTTGACACTCATCTCGAAATTTCTCATTCTTGTCCTGTATAAACATAAGAAAAGATCTAAATAAAACACATACTTTGGCCTTGATTTTAGCAGCATTCATCATATGAATGGTTTTTTCACATGCTGCAGGTACGAGAATATCGCACTGCTCATAGATCAACTCTCCGAACGGTTCGAACGCTTTTGCTCCTGGGAATCCCTGTAGATTTCATGTTTTTCAGTTCGTTCGTCTCAATTTAGTTGATGTCAGCCTTGCTGGCTATCAGTGGAAAAGTTTTGTAAAAACTTTGTAAACTTGATCAATGAAAATTTGTTGTTTGGCAAGACATAGTCACCAGGTGAGTTGTGGCTACAAATCACATTCAGGCCATTTTGAATCTAAACATCTTTTTTTGCTATACTCAAGCGAGTATTGTTTGGAACGAACTCGTTTGAAGCATGACTTTGATTTGAAAAGGTCAAATAAAAAGGAATGAATTAATGAAAAAAGCGGATTTTAGAGTTAATGAAGTGTAGAACACAATGCTATTGACTCATAGGATAATCGATCATCGGAATTGACCAATCAAAATGAATGTAATCGATTCGAATAAGTTGAAAAAGTGAGTGAAAGATGAACCTTGACAGTTTTTTTTTCCTTCACATATGCCATCAGTGCATCGGCATCAATACCTTTCGGATTCTGCAACGACGCATTCCACTCTTGTACACCAACGCAAATCGCGCCAGCATTCGTCAAAAAATGTGCTGTATATGAACCAACATTACCGAATCCCTGCAACGATCGTTATTCATCACCCTCATGAGATAGTGATCAAATCGAATGAAGATAGACGCAGTTTGGTATCAAACAAAGTTAGTGTCCATTTCGCTGCTGTCAGCGATCCATGCTTGAGGTGCACGGTATATTGTTCTTGCAATATTGAGCACTCGAAAATTTAAAAATGGAATGCAAAAAATCGCGATTAATGAAAGAATGATCAGCTTTTCATCTCTTCGTTTGATACAAATTAATATTTTTGGCGAATATGATCGCTTAATGATCAACTCAAGTGAATAGTACCTGTATAATGAATGTCTTGCCGACAAGACCCGGTTTCAGTCCGACCTTCTTCATGTAGTCAGCATCATTCATGAAAGTCTCCAATCCTCTCCATACACCTCGTCCAGTTGCAGCCGTACGTCCGTGGATACCTAAAGTAGTCGACAGAGTAAAATGCTGCAAATTGCTACAATACGAAAAGATGATGTTTGGATGAGAGAAGTTGCTAATTGCACGATGTTTGTATGATGAATTTATGATAAGTTCGAATCACCTCCTGTAATGAGCGGTTTTCCAGTGCAACATGCGTATGCATCGTTGTCGGTATAGCCGATCGTATGACTGTACGTGTCGGCCATCCATGCCATTTCACGTTCACCCGTACCCATGTCTGGTGCGGGCACATCGATTCCTGGTCCGAGAAAGCCTTTTTTGCACAGTTCGAGCGTGAATCGACGCGTGATCTTCTCGAGCTCGTACACACTGTATTTACGAGGATCAATTTTGACGCCACCTTTGGCACCTCCGAATGGCACATCAACTGCTGCACATTTATAGGACATCAATGCTGATAAAGCTTTCACCTGAATCACACAATATAATGATATATATCATATCTGTTGGTAAGTGTAACGTTATGTAGTTTGGGTGATAATACTATCATATAACAGAATAGAAATTAACCTCATCCTCATTGACATTTTCAGCGTACCGAATTCCTCCTTTCACCGGGGTTTTGTGGTCGCTGTGTTGTGCACGCCATCCCTCAATCATTTCATAGCGTCCGTTGTCTCTTCTCAGTGGGAACGTTATGTAGAGCACCTTAAAAGCGATTGTTCAGCCTTTTGAAATATTCATATCAAAAGGTAAAGATGATCGTCATGAATGAGTCTTTTGGATAAGGTGTGCGAATGTTTTTAACAACCTTATTAGCTGGCTTGATTGACGTAAGAACGCCCTCAACAAAGTTCTGCTTATCGTCTTTGCTCATCGATGGTATATCGCATTCCTCAACTAGTTTCTTCTGAATTACATGCGCACCTTTATCGAAGTAATATGCAACCATCTGTAACAGTCATTTCATTAATAATAATATTATTATTATTAATCAATGCATTATCATGATTATAATCATCATTATCATCAATATTTATTGTTTACTTATCATGCGGTCATGTTATTTACAGTATGATTACTATGAAAGAGATCAGTGAATGTGCGACAAAGTCAATTATATTTCTCAAAAGTGAAAAATGATATTTATCAAAAAGTGTGAAATAAATTTACCAAAAAGAATGAGGGGTCAAGTTGTTCCTCGATCGGTTTCATCTGATCAAAAACTTGTTGAACGGGCTCAATTGGTTCACCCGTTGAAAGGACACGTGTTCTTGGCGTGGACATTTTGATTCGGTGAAGTTTTGTTGGTTTACTCGATCAACTGAAAGTGAACAAACAGTTCATCTGTACGACAACAATTTATCAGTATAATCCGTTCCATCGATTCACATCGAACAGTAATATCCCAATTGTCACAAACCATAAGCTATGTATATTGTGCACATGATAAATATAATATTTGTGTTTTGGTTTTTTGAAAAGATGTAATATTTTCATCTGAATTGAGTACAGATAAGTGAGAGCAATCTGTCAGACATAAACGATTGCGTACGCAATGGGAAATTGAATGATTTCAATGAAACAGGCAGATTCGTTTGTTTGTTGCGTTGGAGCTGATAAAACAGAATGGTGCAGATTCATTTTGCAGTTTCCCATATCAATGTTTATTGTGATGGATATTGTTTTCGATAAAAAAGCGTTGGAAACGAGCTTTTTGCATTGCACAATAACTATTGCTTGCCATCAACTTCCTTCTCACGATCAGTAAAATATGCACTAATCTCATCTTTATCAACTCACAATATGTTATCAGTATCAGAAAAAACACTTGCAAAACATTTCGATCTATTTCGATCACATTCTAACTATTCCGATATGAATGGTGTAATAGAGTAATTTGGGAAGAACAAAGGAAATGTGTTGAGGTTATTTTAAGGCTAGCAACTGCACAAGGAATAAATTTATGGTGCAGTCGTCATATGGCAACGGTAAACTATGAATATCCTAGAGTACATCACAGAAATGTGTTGATCAGTGATACTGAATGAATCCCTTGTTCGAACGAGGCAAGAGTTGAGATCGAGGATAGCGTCACAGGCACACGAACGACGGCATTGGTGGTACTGACTCGTTACAATTCTAGAGAATCTAAATTGTGACGAGTGGAAAATAGTTAAAAACTGAGAAGAACTTAGCAAGCGTGAATCGGTTTCCTTTTCGAAGCAGCAGTCTTCAAAACAGTGCGCTCTCAGTGATGAAACAGCAGCAAACACAACAGCTACATTCAACCAAACCAAAGCATTAATCATAATCAAAATCATGAGATTCGTTTCAGTCATTTGATTTTGCAAAAATAACTGCATGCCTTCATCAGTGATCATATTACAGGCGTAACTGGTTTGTTAGAGTGTTTGCCGAATGATTGTTTTGATGATGAATTTGCCATCTGGTCAATTTATAAACCGTGTCCATCAAATGATAGACGTCACCCAACAATAAATTATTTTTCATTTTAGAATTAGTTCCTAATAGTTTCTATGTCGTCTTAAAATATGCCTTCTGCAATTCGTAACATTCTACGCTAAAAATCACACACAGCAGTACTAAGCTGAGGCTTGCACCAACTGCAATGTGACTACTGTGTGGATTCAATGCCTTGATTGCGTCAAACAAGAAACGTTTCGTAGCTCAAATAGGCATCTGCAAATAAATTTGATGAAATTCTGTTTCTGCCACAACATGGTGGAACTGTGTGAGCGTTTTTTGACATTCTCTTGTCGAATTCTTGACAAATATTCATTTTAAAAATCTGATTGGGAGACCGCAAAAGTCTTATTATTCGTCGATATGTGCGCCAATTTCTGCCACATTATCTTCGATGGAAGTGCATTGGTAGTCAAAAATTTTGTAAGTGGCCGCCTCAACTTTAGAAAACTTTGGCCGAAAAAAAAAGCAAAGAAATCGTTCTGAAATTATTTCAGCAACACTTTAACAGCTTGTTCCCAATTTCATGGAAATGAAGTAGATT